TGCACAACTACACATGCTGATCAACATTCCTGTAAAGTTTCATGACTCTAGGTCAAATACTTTTTGAGTTACATGCGACACAAGTTGAAAATTGCAAAATTTTACTAAGTCAAGGGCAATAACTCTGAAAATACTAAAAATATCCAGACGAAAATACCCAGGTGCACAACTACACATGCTGATCAACATTCGTGTAAAGTTTCATAACTCTATGTCAAATACTTTTTGAGTTACGTGCGACACAAAAGAGAACGGACGGACAGACGGAAGGACGGACGGAAGGACGGACGGACCAGGGTAAATCTAAATGCCCGCCACTAAAGTGGGGGCACAAAAAGTCTGTCGCAAACACGTCTCTGAGCAGGTGCGTGCCATGTTACATTTCCTTCCAAAATGTTTCTTTTTATCTGCCCGAAATTCCCGAAAGAATTTCGGGCATATTATGTTATACCCAATTGCGTCCGTCCGTTCGTCCGTCCGTTCGTCCGTCCGTTAGCAATTTGGTTTCCGGAGCATAACTTAAGTTCAAGGTCACTATTCAGCACAAGACACCTATACAAGGTCACTATGACCTTAAAACTGAAAACATTTTCCAGAGCATAACTTAAGTCCAATTTGACCCACAGTGTTCAAACTTCATAGGACGATTGTCCATATATGGTAAAACACCCCTAATGATTTTGGGGTCACAAGGTCAAGATCACTATTACCTTAAAACTGAAAACAGTTTCCGGAGCATAATTTAAGTTCCATTTGGCCCACAGTGTTCAATCTTCATAGGATGATTGTCTATATTAGGTGGAAGACCCCAATTGATTTTGAGGTCACAAGGTCAAAGGTCAAGGTCACTAGTACCTTAAAACTGAAAACAGTTTCCGGGGCATAACTTAAGTTCCATTTGGACCTCAATATTCAAACTTCATAGGAGGATTGTTATTTGAAGGAGGTAATACTTTATTTAATTCGATCCAATGTCTTACAAATGCTTCATCTTTACTTAAAAAAATCACTTTCGGGCACATAATGCTCCGCCTAGCGGTGCTCTTGTTATACCTGTTTTTTATTTTTCGAAAAGAAAAATATTCAAGGAAAGGAAGAGATACAAAATCATGCAAGCACAAGACACCAATACAAGGTCACTACTTCCTTTCTTTATTGGTCGCGCATACATTTCCATGACCCTGTGCATGACGTAAAGATCTTTACGCTGTGCGTAAATGTATACACAATGATAATATATATTCGTATGGTAGGAAAATGCCGGGGTTTTTGTGTAATTGGATAAAGACTGCCCAATTCTTTTTTTTGTTGTGTGGTACTTTTTAAGACCATTCCTTTAGGGTGGGGATTAGGACGATAAGTTCAGACCAAAGTCACAGTGGTAGATTTACTTATATTATGAGAATGAATCAATGTTGTCGATATTCTTGTTTGATTTTATACCCGATATCTTTTTAATCGATATAGATTTTTTTTTAAAAATCAAATGTTTTCATGTAATATAAATAACAAAACACGTTTCAACTGTCTGGTAAACGTTTTAAGCAAACGAAAGGAAAAACGAAAACGCTTTAAAAGTAAAACACTCATCAAAATTTGGATAAGTATAGCAAATATTTGTTATAAACATACACATGTTTAGATAAACAGTAGCTAAGAGAAGCTCTCCAATGATAAACGTAAATATCTTAAAAAGGAAAATATACATTTTTTTTCAAGGGCACTCAAAGCGGGTACAAACAAATCTATTGAAATTTCACTTCACTTTTACGATTTTTCTTATATTAAATTTACTGCGGTAGTTCGAAAGTTGACAATATTTACTCAGATACTTATGATATGGGCAAGCGGAGTGTTTGAAGTTGCAATATATACACGGTAAGCCTGTTTTAATATTGATACAGTCTGATAGAAGTGTTTGAAATCGAACTCGATAACGTATCCAATATACAGTCAGATAATTTTAACACGGCATTGCCAGGATTAACGGCGGTTTGTTTAGATATCATATTAATATACTGCTAGGTCAGCTTTACTCAAATGATTAAGTAAAATGCCTTCAACGATACATCAGACCTTTAATACAATTAAAGTTGAAGAAAGTATTTAAGGTAAAGAAAATACCGAAATGGGTTGCTATCAATGCTCGGATATTTCCGTTGGTTAACGTACATGTTCGTCGTATTCAGGTAGTTGTCTGCACTTTGATGTACTTAAAGCTGCATGCCTCCAGATGAGCCAAATTTTTTAAGACAATAAAACTTTGGAAAGACAACTAAGATTGTAAGAATGGTAAAAAGATTCAAAATTCAAGTACTAATTTATATTTTATGTGCTTCGAATGACTGATTTTGCAGTATTGATTATCATATTTCTACTGCGTTACTAACGAAGTAAGGGATATTTATGCATATTTTGCCCTCTTTTTGGTAATTTAAATGGATTGTAAGTACCGTTTGCAATGTTTTAATTTACTCTGTTTGTCAAAATTTTTCAAAATTTTCTTGAAAATAAGGATTAATGTGGAGGCGTGCCACTTTAAGAATGCAATGATTATGTCACGTTTTGCTTCTGATGAGGGGAAATAACCGCTGCTGTCAAATACCGTAACTCATACGCACGCATTCACTGTATTCCAAATAAGACAAAAATAGTCCAAATAATATAAAAAGAGATTATAATAATATGAATAAAAATTAAGTTGGTATTATCAGCCAGAAAAATTGAATTGATGATACGGAAACAGTTGAAATTCCGTGCCGAATCGTCGACTTGAATCTGGTTCTAACTGTATACCAATGATATATCGCCGATTTGCACTTGTATATTTTTTGTACTGTATATAACATATATAACTTATATGTAAAGTTAAGTATTCTTTAAAAGATATATATGTCTCTATCCAAATTTATAGCTTAATATATCATCAAATTTGAACACCTGACATTGGTTCTTTTATATATAATATTATAAATCTTATACCGTGAGAAGTGTTATACAATGTACATGTATTGCCTTTTCAATGAACTACTTAAGTTTTCAACCATAGTTCACCAAATTAAAAACGTTAGCCCTTTCTTCTTCTACTTCTTTTTCTTCTTCTTCTTCTTCTTCTTCTTCTTCTTCTTCTTCTTCTTAAGAATGACAACATATTTATGGTCACTTACGTTAAAGGAACTCCACTGAGGCTCAAAGGCATAAAAACATGAAAATTTAATTTCTTACATAGACCAGCTTGGGCACTAAAAACAGATAATGAAGAAATATATTAAGAAATAAATTGAAAATTTTATTTTTGTGCTTCTTAGGATTTGAGTGAAAAGCATTGCAACGCTTTTCTATTTTTGGTAGTTTTTCAAAATGAAAATAATTATTCTGTAAAAACGAAGTGAGCGAATGATCTGAATTTTTGCAGATAAGTTTTTGGTCTAAGTCTGCATCAAATGGAAAATTAATCTCGAAAAATTATGTCATGTCATGTCAAAAAAACTCAGTGGAGTCCCTTTAAAATGAAATATTAGTACGCGAACGCATACATAGTACACTTTTTAATGTCTTGTCACTCGCTGTTACCCTGATTATAAAGTCATTTAAAGTAGTATTAAACGTGTACAATCACTGTCTAAGTATATTCTTCTGTTTGAAGTAAACAAATCAATTATGGCGTCGTTAAGGTCTAATGACAGAATCTAAATACTTGAAAGTTATTATATTATATTAAAAACATGATTGTTAAGGAAGCACGCACCCATCAGTGTTCCTGTTTGTTTTAAAGAAAAAACTTATTTTACTACATGATGTGCCAATATCACATTCCATGAATTTGTATCTATCGACGTTTCGCATTATATCGATGTTTCGTATCGTAACGATATATCGTTTTTTTATCCAAGTCGTATCGTTTTGTTGTATCATAATTTTATAGTCCTATTGTTTCATCGTGTCATGTTGTATCGTCATATCGTGTCGTATCGTCTTATATATTGTGTCATATCGTCCTATTGTATCGCTGATCCTTATCGTATCGTCGTATCGTAGCATAGAGTGTTGTATTACAAGGCATTTCTTTTCTTTCTGATGGCTCTTTATTAATAAGTAAAGACTGTAGGCCGTAAGGCGTAATTCATAGAAAATTGGCAAAATTCACACATCTTCATTTGCCATATTTATAATTATGTATATTTTCAGACGTCTCAGCATCAAAACATATCATTAGGATCTAAACAAAAAGTCGTTGACAGCGAAAGTACCAAAATAGTATACAAAGACTGCATAACCAGGGGCGATGACTCGTTCAGAAAAATATGATCAGGAAAGAACAAACGAAAGAAAAATGTATAAACTCTTTTTGATTTTGTGAAGAAAAAAAAACAAACTTTTTTTTTTTGTAAATCAATGTGTTGCATGTGTCCGTCGTATGGTTACAGTTACGAGAATACCTCGTACATTTGCTTCGTAACAGTAACGACAACACTTCCTCGTATTTATGCAGAATTTTATGGCTTTCCGGGTTGGGAAGTTTTTTTTTTATATTACGGAGAAAATGTATTTAAAATAGACAAAATTTAAATTAAAAAAGGTTATAGACAGCAAAAAAAAAAAAAAAAAAAAAAAAAAACAAAAAAAAAGATAAATTACCATTATTTATGTACATATGTATTTATGTATTTTTGTTACAAACGTAAGCATAGAATTTTTTAGATGCATTAACATGATATGTTTTCCATTCCTATGAATCATAATTTATTCATTGATATATACGTAGAATATTCAAATAAAGCCGATAGGATCACGTTTAATCATATCAGATATGTCATCTACCACTGTTATAAAAAAAATCTTAAATTCTTGTTTATCTTTTTAAATAAAACCATTGAATGTATTGAAAAAAAGAATTTTAATTCAAAATCATATGTTATTTAAATTATCCCATTTTAACCTTAAGTGACAATTAAAAGCCCCCGTCACCGGTTTATTGTCTGTTTGAAGCATGTCCCGACAAGCGTTATGCCGAGGTTGAGTCGATAAATTACTTAAGTAGATTACTTCGGATTGTTTCTTATTTTTACAAGCTTAACTTGTATTGAAAAGAATTGGTAATAAGTTTTAGCGCAGGTAATTCCTTTTGGAATCGATTGAAATAATTTAGCGACTAAAAACTTTTTAACTTTGAACAAATGGGTCGCGATTTAACAATCCAATTTTAAAAGCTCAGTGTATTCCCTGACAACGAAGGGGTTGACGGAACGTATAATGATCTCTGGAAGATAAGTTTGGACTTACGTGGTTATATGAACTCAAGAAATGGATGTTTAGATGTGATTTATTTTCTTGATTAACTATGCAGCGGAGGACTAGCTTGTTAGTGGATCAAGGTACATTCATTTTTAAATTATTTTTTTTTGTAAAAAAAAATATATATATTTAAAAAAAAATATGGATAGAAAATTAACCTTAACGTATAAACCAATAATATTTAAAGATATATATAATGTACATATTTTGTTCACGCATGATCTTACAATCTGGTATAACACACCGGTAAAATAAAAAGAAATGCCGACTTATTTAGTAATATTACAAATAAGTAACTGTGGTATTGATTACAATTAAGACACAATGCAGTAAATCACAAAACAATTTACTGTTTTTATATGTTTTTATACCGTTACCTGCTGCATTTTTGTAATGATTTTCGCAGGGGGTCCATTTAAAATATTGTGCTGGCAACAGTATAGCGCCTAGTCAGAGTGCACCGATGTGCAGGCTGGCCTGGCTCTATACTGGCGGCAAAGGCTATTCACTTTCCATTCCAGAACGGTTTAGGTTTAACCGTTAAAATTGTAGAAAGTCATTTTGAGGGCACTAAGGTATCCGAAGCTGGCTGTCTGTGACTGATTTAAATTTCATGTCCGTTCAAATTTCTATTTTGGACACACAAAAAATGACGATGGTCAACGCAGAGGCCTTACATTAAACACGTTTATATGTACTATAATTATGTTAAAATAATAACATCAAACGTCTTTGATTTAAGAATAATATTTATTTACAAGGGTCGAAGCGACACTTACTTACTATTTTCTAACAGGTATAATAAATGACGCAAATCTGTAGAAAATTTGAAACCATTCCGCCTTTGAAATTGGTTTAATTTGATACAGTGAAAATTATTTTCGAGGCCATGCTTCACTTTGGGAGCAATAATCAGGTAGGCTAGGTCAATTTACATTTTATCGGTGTCTGGCTAAATTACCACCGTGTCATATTACAAACATTTTTTTCCTTCAGAAAATCGAACTATAGATTATTCTTAATATAGACGTCAGCCGATATTTTAGTAAAATGATTTGTTCGAAAATAAACCTTAACATAAGTTGAAAAGAGATTGTGCATATGTTTGTTATAACCTAACAATGTTATACACTCATTCGGTATTCAATCTAAATAACGTCACATTTATGTTCTTTTTCTCTCTCTCTTCTCTTTTTTTTTGTGTGTGTGTGTGTTTTACGTCGCACCAACAAAGTCTAGCCATATAGTGACTTTTGTGCCTTCCTAGTGAAGGAAATGTTCAGCTGCACAACCGTGCATTATTTCAGACACAAACGCACTGAGTAGAACACCGACGTTCGTAAGCTAGCTGGATAAAGTTTCCTCAAAATTTAAAAATCCGAACTCACAGCGGTGAAGGGCAAGTGGTTTAAAGGTAACGACCTTTACTACTACTGCCACGGACGCCACCATTTTCTGTGTAAAACATAACAAGATCTGAGCTTCAGACAGGGTGTCGTCACCTTTAATACTTACTCCACTAAATATCTTAAATGTTCTTGTCCATCTCCCAATTTAGACAAATTTTCTAAATATATACTGATTGATTAGTGAACAGTGCAAACCATGATCTGACGACACGGACATGTCGGCTGGTCTTGGTCTGCACTTTTAGCCTAAGTAGATTCTGTAACCGCCAAGTGGCATAAAGTAAATCAACATTTATATTTAGAAGCCGTCTGAATGCTGGAAACTGTACAACCAGAAGTTGCTTTTTAATTAAAATTGGTGTCAACCCGTGTTCTTTACCGCTGTTCAAATAATTCATGATAACTCGACAGTTACTTGCAGGAAAAAAAACAATTTAGTTCTGTTACAGAATCACATGGAAGTTGCCGTCCTTTTTAAATAGCATTAAACCATTCTATCAATAAATAATTAAATTGTAACTTTTACAAACTTATTTTTTTTTTGCTCGCGCTCCCTTCCCTATTCATAATAAAGTTTCGCACGGGTTTCGGTATACATGAGATGATTAGTGCAAAAATTAAAACTTCAACAACATTTTCTAAGCTGTAAGTCATAGATATGGAATACTTTTATTTTTGTGTTCATGTGCAATAAGACACTTAAAAGAGTTCTAAAAGAATTTCATCATTAGGTCACTGACCGGCAGACGCGCTCATATAATTTTTTAAACTATATTTGATTTTTCTTTACAAATACTTTACCGCGGAATGCTTGAACTTTACCGGACAAAATTACTTGTATAATTGTTGGTGAGTACATTGCTCTTTCTGAAACATGCATACTTTAACATAAAACTCCATCCAGTAATATTGACACCTGGATTGGAGATTATTAAAACATTTTCTCAGCTTCTAAGCATTTGATTGGACAGAACAGGGATAAGGTGCACGCTGACCAATGAAAATCCTGATATTTAATGAATATGTATTATAATCTCGAGGCCCGGTACAGTAGTCCTTAAATTATTGCCTGAAATTTGATCTATTTGAAATTAAAGAAATTATTATGTGATATAGCTAGATAGACTTTAGTATGACCGCGACTGGAGATCGAAACTTCGGCCGCCACGAAATAATAACTTCTGGAGAATGCATTTTGCTGTTAAGACTATTCGGATAGCCTTTTTTGTATACAACTGAACATACATTATTATGAACATCTTGAAACTGAATTTGTATGAGGAATATTTTTTTCTTCCTCATACATGTATTCGTTTTTTTTTAACAGAATGCACAAGAATAACGTGCTTGTGAAGTCTAATCATATGATAACGTTTTTGACTTCTGCATTAAGGAATTTCCCATGTTATAATTTATCATGCTTAAAAGACAGTTATCTATTGAACAAACGTATCGATTTGATTGAATATATTAACGCTGTAATCTTGAGAAATATCTGCTAAACTCTATTTTATCATGTTCAAATACCAGACCTCTCGCGTACATTTCGATCCCAGTTTAGATAACAAATAAAGATATATGATAAACACACAAATAGATTAAATGCGCGGAAAGATCAATTTTTATAAAAATGGGCGGATAAATTTTTTTTCATTGTGTCATTGCAAAAATAAGCTAAAATTATTCAATAAACTGTTATTGGGAGTCATCTAGGTTTTAATAGATTTTTGCTTTAATGTTGTCACCTATGCCATCTGTAAAACCATGCGTTAGGTATCGTAAATTTATTTTAAAGGCACACTATGTCTCTCAGAAATGAAGACTTTTTCCCTCTTCTTTAAAAGAGACCAACCATGTGGTAAATGATGATGTTTTAATAATGCATTTACACTACATGTATATTGTTTTTTTTTCATCATAAATTAGAATATGAATAATAATTTGTCAACAGGTTAACAAAATGGTATTTTATCTTTAAAGATCCTGTATGTTTTGTGATTGATATTGTTAGTGTTTGTATACCACACTTGCAAAACATTATATATGTATATAATTATGCAAATAAAACAATTTTCAAACACCGAAGAATATGTAAAATGTGTACTGCAAATATTTATGCACATTATATTTAATCAATAAATTATATGCATTCATTTCTTAATGGAAACTTTGGCTAAGAATTTATAGAAAATAAATTTCTAATTACCTCCCTTTATTTACATGAAATTTTAAATTCGGTAATATCTTTATAAATAATACTTATTGGAACTTAAAATATTAAGAAATCTTAATTTGAGCATCATATCTTTGAAATAAAACCATGAAAAAATGTGTTACAGGATCTTTAATACAAAACTATAAACTCAATAAAACTGTTCTAAATGTAGCCAAGGAGTAGCTGCGTGTTGTTTTTGCTCTCTTTTTCGGAAATTGCAATAGGACAGCAAGAATATTTTTTTGTCAAAAAAAAAATAATAGCATTTTGTGGGCTTAATGGGCCTTTAAAACATCGGTTACGCTAGTCTATAATCTGGTACAAAATATTGTCCGCTGTAAGTCTTTTTCTAACATCCATATTGTGTATCTTTTTAGTAGAATATCATGTCCTAGTTACACTATTTTCATTAGTATAATTAGCACTTAAAACCTAGGGGACTGACACTTTGTGAAATTCCTTTACCCATTACAATGACAGAAAAATATATTTACATTTACTCCCCTTCTTGTTTAATTTCTAAATTGCTTGTTTGCTTTTCCCGCTTTTATTCATTTAACAACAGACGACAATTGTACGTGTGTTAAAATTCCATATTGCCCATTAACGTACATTTATAATACGCGGATAAATACTAATGTGGGCTATTTAACGACTATTTACTCTAGCTATTGATCAATTACATTAGATCAAAATTCTTTGAAAAGAAATTCGGTGATAGTTACCGTAAAACATTTATGAAAATAATCTAAATAAGAAATATTAACGTAATCGATGTATGGACAGAGCATTAGTTTCTGCCAGTTATTCATTTATACTTTTGTTAGTAAGGTCAATCATTGTAGAAATGTATGAAAAATTAAATTTTGTAAACGTCTATAGCTGTTTGATCAAAGATAAGACAAGATAAGTTTTTATTTCAAGTCGGCAAACTTCAACTAAATGATTTAAGCGTTTATGGGCCTTTTTTTCTAAACCACTATATAATAATATTATTTTGTAATGAAATAAAAATCACTAAAGGTAATAAAAAAGGCTGGAAAAAAGAAAAATAGCATATTATTAATGGTAATTGAATCTTAAGACAATTCATAAGACTGAAGGGAAAACACAAATGTAATAAAAAAAATGAAATATTACAGTTTAAAGTTTTGATACAAGTTTTACTTCCAATTTCCTATTTACAATACTGTAGTAACAGAGTTTAAAATGTAAAATTACATACGCTAAAACATGCGCAGGTCTATATTGTATATATATTTTAGATAATAAGAAAACACGGTTGTGAATAAATGCATTGTGCTATAATCTAACAAAATTAATCAATGGATAGATTAATTAATAATAAATTAAACCCAAGGGAGACAATAAGAAGCAAAACGTAAAGAGATTGTTATAAAATTAAAACGCACTCGCCCATACTCCTGATCCTGTGCCCTTCTACCTCTGGTTGTTTTGTAATTCATTTTATCAATCGGGAATTCATTAGAGCTAGCACAGTGATTTTACGATACCTGGGTCATACTACAGATACACAATAAAATACACCTAATGTCATGTCACACTGTGTATTTTATTGTGTAAAATATTCGAACTGAGCTACCCTATAAAACATTTATTCACGCTTGTCTACAAAGACATCGTAAGTTACACAACACAAATTGAATAATGCTTTATGTTAGATGTCATAATGTAGTAGCATATGTAGGTAATATATTGGCAAAAAATAAACGATTTACGAAATTCCATTCGATCGTTTTGTTAAACCTTGACAACGCTACATTCTACGGAGGCTGAGTAATTCCATGTCGTATTCATGAGCGTGATTTCGGCGCCAAAAACACAAGCCGATGGCTTTTGTCGTTATTTCCTGTTTTAAACCTTTCGCCAATCAATACGATATGGCTGACTTTTGTTGAAACCCGTTACATCGTAAATGTTGTGTCCTTATGGCTGTTATTAGTCCCCTACCGGTTTACCGGAGGGGACTTTAGGTTTACCCTCCGTCCGTCTGTCCGTCCGTCTGTCTGTCCGTCTGTCTGTCCGTCCGTCTGTCTGTCCGTCCGTCAGTCCGTCCACAAAACTGGATCCCGCGATAACTTGAAAAGTACTGAAAATATTTTTATGAAACTTTATATATGGATAGATGGCAGTATGGAGATTATGCACGTCTTTTTCTTTTCTTCCTATGTTGAAAATTCTGGTTGCTATGGCAACAAATAGGCTGAAAATATGGCAAATTTTACACATAAACTGGATCCAGTGATAACGCAAAAAGTACTGGAAATATTTTTATGAAACTTGATATATGGATAGATGGCAGTATGGAGATTAGGCACGTCTTTTTCTTTTCTTCCTATGTTGAAAATTCTGGTTGCTATGGCAACAAATAGACTGAAAATATGGCAATTTTTACACATAAACTGGATCCAGTGTTAACGCAAAAAGTAATAGAAATATTTTTTATGAAACTTGTAATATGTGTAGATGGCAGTCTGGAGATTTAATACACGTCTTTTTCTTTTCTTCCTATGTTGAAAATTCTGGTTGCTATGGCAACACATAGACTGAAAATATGGCAAATTTTACACATAAACTGAATCCAGTGATAACTCAAAAAGTACTGGAAATATTTTTATGAAACTTGACATGTGGGTAGATGGCAGTCTTGAGATTATGCATGTCTTATCTGTTCTTCCTATTTTGAAAAAATATTGGTTGCCTTGGCAACAAATAGGCTTAAAACATGGCAAATATAACAATATTTGTGATTAGTCAAAAAGAGCTGAAACTTTTTATGAAATTGCATCTTTAATTCCAGAGTTATCTCCTCTTTAAGAATTTTGCTTTTTAAAATGTTATATTTTGGTAACAGGGATGTTTCAAATATTAACTTTAGAGTGTCCTTCAGTCCGTCTGTATGTCTGTTCATAAAAACTTTTTCCTGTGGTCACTTTTAAAGAACATTTCCAACAAATTTACTTAAAATAGAGAAAAATTTACACATTAGTGAATGGCCAATGGCCCTTCAGAATGCTGATGGGGTTCTATCCGGTAGGGGACTTATGGATTGCTTGCAATACTATAATAATTGCTTGTTTCATTTCGACGTGGCAGTGTGAGATACTAAAACAACACAAACATCGATAATATAGTGACTTTGTCGCGTTTTCGTTCTCCCTTAAATGTGAAATTCCATGTCTTAATCAAAGTATGTCGTATCTACGTTCTTAAGCTTTTTAGTTCGCCCCGAAAACATGCTTAACCAGTCAACGCGAAAACTTTGAACGCTTGAACTCTACGAGTAGTGACGTCACGAATTTACTCCAGGCGCAATCTCTCTGGCATCGACCGAAACTGGACATGCGCAGTGCATCGACTTAGCGCACGAACTCTGTCAGTATGACATGGTCTTTATCGGCTACCGTACATTTTACGCTGAACAAATTAGAAAAAAAATCGCCACTTGAAAAAAATTGCGCCTGGAACGTTATTTTGTTTGAATGATACTCAAAGTGTTTAATCATACACTGTTAATCAATGTTCTTGTATCAGTGTAAAGTTTCGTTTAGATCAGAAGAGCTTAGCTGTTAAAATGTGCTCAATACAACGCTGATAAGAAAACTGGTTATATTTCCGTTCACATGTTTGTCAAGTAATGTGATATCGGTTGTAGACTTTTTTTTATACAAACAATTCATGCCTTAATTATTTATATAGGTATCGACTTTAAAAAGGCGCACACCGTTAGGTTTATTTATATTAAACTGTTAAACTGAGTGCCTGTTTGTATCATATATAGTTGTACGGTTAAGAAAAGGAAGATTTTATAAAACTTTAACACGGGCATTAAAAAGAATAAGTTAATTAATTAATATAGTTTTTCTTTTAATGTTTAAAAACAATTATTGAAATGCAAATGTAGTATATGTACATGTATGTAGAAATAACACAGTGTAAGAACGAGATAACTTTTTTTGTATTTTACATTCTTTAATATTATAAATAAAGGTATTACTGATTGCATGATTTTCTTTGAATCTTCATTGCACAATTACCTGATTTTCAATTGTTACTTGATAAGGTGAAAAATATCACTTGAATTTAGAGGAATTCATAGATTGTTTTCCCATGCCATTTAATAAATCAAAATGAGTGATTGTGTACATAAGATTTATCTATTAAAAGTAAAGTAATATTAGTTACTTTATCTGTGTTTAATTTCAATCAATCATGTTGCTGTACTTTTCAGAGTCCGGATGTCCGTTTCGTATACGCCATCTTGATGACGTCATCGATAATGACCGGACTGACTTGCAACGCAAGGAGCAGGAAAAGTCCCTTAGATACGCCCATTTGAATAAGGACCAGTTTGATGTTGTTGACAAACTTATACGTGGCGGAATTCGGCCTGAGTTATTACCATGCCAAAAGCCGAAAGTAGTTCGCATGTTTATGTGTTCCTCCGGACCGGGTAAGCAATAAAAAATAATTGAAATGTTGATGTGTGTATTTAAAATCTGATTAATGGACGTCAAATATTACAATAGATTATATCACACTTTTAAATATGCATTTTCATGTTTGTTATTTTTAAAATGTAAACTGGGGCTGAAAAGTTTAATCTCATTAAATAATATCAGATTATGGAACAGTTCCAAGCAGACACCAGTCCAGACAACATCTGTACTCGATTTTCTCACGAGAAAGTGTCGACTGCATAGAAATAATCTCTTTAAGCAGTGACAATTTAACAATATGCACGTAAATATTGTACAAAGCTACTTTATATACTTTAAAAGGTCAAATGCATTTTAACTGGTCGAATAAACGTATGTATGCCGTAAACTTGTCTGGTACCCAATATATGTAGTCAGGTACACGCATTTATGCATTTTATATTGTGTCAATTTACGCATTTATGCATTTTATCTTGTGTCAATTTACGCATTTGTGCATTTAACTGATCATACATAGCCATGTATGTATTCTATTTTGTCAGATTTACGCATGTATAAATGCACGCACATATGCATTTTGATTTGTCAGATGTACGCATGTGTGCAATTTATTTGTCAAATGTGCGTATATGTATACATTTCTATGTGTCAATGTAAACATGTATGCGTTTTGATGTGTGCATTAATGCATTTTAACTGATCAAATGAAAGCCCATACTACACAAAAAAGTCCATGGCCCCCTTATTTAAAGTTATTTGCAGACAACCTTTGTTTATTGCAGATTTTGAGTCAGTTATTTTATGGATAACCATTGTTTATTGCAGATTTTGAGTCAGTTATTTTATGGACAACCATTGTTTATTACAGATTTTGAGTCAGTTATTTTATGGTCAACCATTGTTTATTACAGATTTTGAGTCAGTTATTTTAGGACAACCTTTGTTTATTACAGATTCTGAGTCAGTAATTTTATGGACAACCATTGTTAGTTACATATTTTGAGTCAGTTATTTCATGTATTTTATGGTCAACCATTGTTTATTACAGATTTTGAGTCAGTTATTTTAGGACAACCTTTGTTTATTACAGATTTTGAGTCAGTTATTTTATGGACAACCATTGTTTATTACAGATTTTGAGTCAGTTATTTTATGGACAACCATTGTTTATTACAGATCAGATTTTGAGTCAGTTATTTTATGGACAACCATTGTTCATTACAGATTTGGAGTCAGTTATTTTAGGACAACCATTATTTATTACAGATTTTGAGTCAGTTATTTTATGAACAACCATTGTTTATTACAGATTTTGAGTCAGTTATTTTATGGACAACCATTGTTTATTACAGATTTTGAGTCAGTTATTTTATGGACAACCATTGTTTATTACAGATCAGATTTTGAGTCAGTTATTTTATGGACAACCATTGTTTATTACAGATTTTGAGTCCGAGAGAAATTACCTGATTGAGAATGTATATCCTTTAGTACGCCAGTATTGCCGAGATAATCATGGCGTCGACTTCCAGGTACGTCTGTTAGAAAACTGTCGTCTGCTGCTCAACAATTAATTCATCGACGTTTTAATTGCTGTTCTGAGTATATTGTTAGATTTTGTTTTTTTAAGTAATGGTGTAAACGGTCAGTAGGCAAAGATATTCTAGTCCATTACTGATATTGCATCCGATTTAATTAACGACTGGAACTACTTCATCAAATTTTGGAACTTTAAGATCAGTTTATATCTATTTCTTATACATTTTAGCTTTATTTTAATTACTATAGCTATACCGTTCATTTCAATACCTTTCATCATAAGAGCAGTAATTGTTACTTTAGTCGGAAAAATGGTCGGATGAGGCGGGGATGGGGGTTCGGAAACAAGATGGGGGCGGGAACAGGCGTCGTTCTTGGTGCATATCAGCGCTATTCACTGATATATTTGTTAGTTAAACACATATTTTATGCACGTAAATCATCTGGTATGTTTGTTACAATTTATTATAAATATTCCAGCTTGTTGACATGTACTGGGGCCACTCCGGTTTACCCTCTACCGACCCCCACAAAATGGCGGCTGTTTATGAAGAATTACGTCACTGTCAGGATATCTCCATGGGACCAAATTTCATTGTAAGTTTTTGTGAGATGTAAACCCCTATTATAACATGATTTTTTAAAAATGTAAATAAGAATAAACAGAACTCGATTAAGATGCACTTAAAATGTCTGCGCGGTGTGGTAAAAATACGGTTCAAAATACAAATAAAATGTTTAAAGAAAGTCTTTTCTTTTCTGTTTCTGTTTCTTTAAAAAAAGCAAAACACATAATAAAAGTATTAACTGCTTTTAGAAAATGTTCATATTGTCAAATACAATTTATGTTTGAACGATTATTTTCAGGCGTTCGTCGGGCAAAAATACGGACCGTATCATTTGCCACAAACCATTCTTGCATCGGATTTTGAAGAAATTAAAAAAGCACTACAGGAAAACGGAAATGACGTTATACTGCTTGACAAGTGGTATCAGAAAAATCTGAATGTTACACCGAATGTGTATCTTTTAAGACAACCTGACCCAAAAGGTATTAATACACATATTTCGTTACACAAAACCTCTTCTCCAATAAATGCTGTCTTTAGAAGATTCAAGATTTTTATACTATCTGATGTAGGTCTATACCTATAACTTGTTTGCAAAATTTCAATTTTTCTCTCACTCCGTATTTAAAAAGTAATCATTTTGTGTGTGTATGTTTATTTGTCTTATTTATTGTTTTCCTTTCCAAGTTGATCTATATAAGAACTGAATAAAAACAAAAACAAAATAATTAGTAAAAAATAATGAAATAAAAAGTGACAGAAACTGTCAAACAGTCTTTCAATTAAAACATATATTAAAAGGTCTGATGAAGTTAAAAAAAACACCACTAGCTAAAATATGTTTGTTATTGTTGTAGATGAACTAGACCTGGAAGAGGACTATTCTGCTCTTATTCAACTGCTTCAAACTGGTACTACCCGGTCTAAGAATGTGACATCTATGCAGTGCAGTAACTCGGGTAATAACTGCTTGCTATCATATTCTCTTCCTGCCCCCCCAAGCCTCCCTCCCCCATCAATTTTGAAAGCATTTATTCAGAAATTTACCACAGTTATCTTATTCAATTTTACTTTATTCTATTTCAGCATATCTTATTAAAGCTATACACAACGTCAGTCTGTAGTTTACTATTTGAAAAATGAAAAAAATGCCTTTATGAAAGTCTTTGAAAGAAATTTGTTTGTATACTAGTATTTCCTTATGAGCGAATGGTGCAATTTTGCATTGCTAAACGGTTAAAACATACATTGTATTTAAGATAGCATAATATTTCGTTCCAATATATTTTTATCCTGATAACGTATAATATTATTGTGTGTTGATTAAAAAGGACATTATACGTTACAAGTTGCATCTCTTCTGAGAATCGGCCATTCGATTGTAAAAGTAACATAACTTTACTGTTTATAAATCTTTTAAAACTATTTCGTAAAATATAAAGTATAGATTCTAAGCGATATGTTGTTCCATAATCCATATTATTACATGCTGGTATGAGCAAAGAACATGAATAGATACAAGAAATTACGGTAGTACATAGCTGATGCTTCTTTGTAGGGACAAGAAACGAGATGATTTCTCGTGGGAACGAGATTATTATATAGTGGGAACAAAATATTCTTGTTCTTATGAGATATGTAGTGCCACTGTAAGAAATATTGAATGAATGCGTGCACTGTCCTGCACATTAGGAACAAAAAGCTTATCATAGACACGGGCTATTTTAAGCATATTTTGACGCACTACACATACAAATTAACACGTACTTCAATCGCATCTCTTCAGCCCTTTCCGTCAAACTTTGGATAAGGATGAATAATAACAGAGGTGTGCCGATTGCATTGCATATAAATGTAATGTATGTAATTTTTAGAGTGCTTGCACTGGCTCAAATGAGTTGATAAAGTCTTCTTGACAATAGTTTTTGTATTTTGAACTCTTTTTATGTTACCACAATTATCAGTGTATAATCTTCTAGGCGAAGATAAACAATACATTGACACCAAACTTCCAAACTTCCTTATATTTCAGATTTTGAGAACCTCATACAGGCAGGAATGGTAAATCTGAGTCGAGAAAAGCGGGACGACAACTGTATTGTTTACATGCGTAACATCAAGAACATCGACGACAGATTAAGTGCCAAAAATGCGGGAAACTTCGTTGATCTTGCAGATTGTGGCGGGAAAAGGGATCAGGAGAAAACAAACAAAATTAATGTATTAAGAAAACTTGTTGAAAAATGCGTTTCTCCTTCTAATATTGTTGAATCCGAAATTGAATTGAACGGATGTTCGCTAGATGAACAAAAATCTGGAGAATACATTTCCAATATTGGTAGTCATTTTTATTCTACTGTAGTCAGATTAGTAAACAAACAAATTGACAAATCAAACAAACTATGTAAAGATCCGCTCATACAAGAGTTATCTCGTCACTGGGAATATGCCATACAGAGTTACTCCCCATTCATTGGAAGGGAAGAATTGCTTAACTCAATCAAGGGTTACCTCCTCTCAGATACAGACCAGCCGTTTGTTCTCTGTGGTTTGAGCGGGACAGGGAAATCAACACTAATCGCAAAGGCAGCAAATGACATTAATGAGGCCGTCACAAATTCTGACTTATCTATGCCAACTGCCGTTGTTGTTAGATTTATCGGAGAAACGGGGCAGTGTGAAGTTGCTCAACCTTTGCTGTTCAATTTATGTCATCAACTTGCTTTTATAACAGGAAGATACAGACAAGATGTTCCGTCTACGTATCTCGCCCTGAAAAATTACTTCATTGACTTGGTACAGAGAGGTGAATATGGTGGAATGATAGTGATACTTGTAGACGCGTTAGACAAATTATCAACGACTGATAATGGACACAAACTTGACTGGTTGCCGTCAAGAATTGCAAGCAATATCAAAATTATTGTCACTGTCGATTCAGAAAATGGAGAAATGTTAACCAGGCTTGAAAATAAAGTCGACGAAGGCATTATCAATATGCCTGATTTCTCTCCTAATGAATGCGAAAATACGTTGAAAGCATTGATAAATGATAATAAACAAACTGTAAATTACAATCAATGGAAACAGATACAACTTTCGTTCAATTCGTGTTCAACACCACTCTTTTCGCAGCTAGTCTACGCTGATATATCGCAGTGGAAGTCGTTCGACAATATAACAAAAAACGTTCTTGGACATTCTACCGACGCCTTGATCAACAGAAAGTTCGAATCCATAGAGCAAAAGTATGATACAAATATTGTTCATAAAGTACTTGGATACCTGACAGCTGCAAAGAATGGGCTGAGTGAGCTTGAATTGGAAGATATATTATCACTTGATGACAAACTTTTAAATAGCATTTTCGTCAGCAATAGTGAATATCCACATATTCGTAGGATACCACATACATACTGGTCTCGTTTGAGGCAAGACTTGCAGCCGTACTTGTGTTGTAAGGAAAGGGACGGGATAGCCACATACAGTTGGAAATACAAACGATTGGCTCAACTCGCAGAAGCACGATACTGCAAGTATGATACAGAAAACATATATTCCAATATGGCGGATTATTACATCGGAAAGTGGAGTGGAACTCAACGGAAACCATTTAAACATCCAAGCATTCTCATGGCAAAGTACAAGCTAGTTGAGCGTGACGGAGAATGCTGTCGATTTGTGCCAACTCAGCCATTGTCTTTCGGTGAGAATATGGCCTATAACTCTAGGAAGCTATCACAGCTTCCGTTTCTTCTAGTCAAAAGCAAGCGTTTTGATGAATTGAAATCAGCTGTTCTATGCAACTACGACTGGATAGCATCAAAACTACGCATTTCAACGGTACAGCGTGTCATCGCCGATTTTGAGATGTGTGAAGACAGAGAAATTAAACTGGTAAGGGACGCATTACGCATGTCAAAATCAGCCATTTCTATAAATCGGGACGCTTTGGGCATGGAACTTACTGGCAGACTTCTTCCACACATCTATAAGTATTCAAATATCAAAGAGCTAATACGACAATGTGATCTTGATGCACAACGATGCAGTCCGTTTGTAGCCAATTGCCAGATATACAGCGCCCCTGGTGGTCCACTACAGTATGAATGTAATGTAGGGAATAATACGAACTGCCAAATTGACATTGATGTGTTCACAAGTCCGGATGGTATACTTCTCGTTGCAAAACCAACCTATAGCAACCGACTTCGTGTTTGGGAACTCACAAATGGAGATGAAAGACCAGACATAATGTTACCTGTTGGTGATGTCAGACCAACAAAAGATGGTCGGTATATCAACATACTTGTTAACGATAGATTTGTTAAGACATACAGATCAAACTGTGGCGTTCTTCATGGAGAAGTCGAATTTGGTCAAGGAAAAGTGTCAAATGTGAAAGTTTCAAACAAGTATATAGCATTCATCCAGTATAAAGGCGCCGGCCCATGCGTTATCGACATTGAAAGGAGTGAAATTTTGCATAAATTCAAGTATCATACTCATGCAGTTGCAATAAGTGAAGACGAAAAGTATGTTGCATTTAACGCTGAAAGAAACATTTTACTATATGAACTTCCAGTCATGCAAAGGAAATGTGTTGCTACCGCATCTGATGTTGCCCACGAGATACTGTTTGTAAATGATGCATCAAAATGTTATGTGATGACAAAAACAAAAATAGTCGAATCAATATCATTTGACGTTGTCAATAGAAAATTCCAGTGCAAAGGAATTTTGACGGATATGAATGCTAAGAAATGTGTTCTGTCAAATTCAAGAAATCTTCTCATTGTACAATGTGGTAAAGTTCTGCATGTTATAGACACTGTCATTGACAAAGTTAGGACTAGATTTCAGAAACTACCTCCTGGTGTATTTGTCGACAGCAGTTCAACATTTAGTGGTTCGGGATTTTCACCAGACGACAGCATGATTGTCGCCACGCGCTACACTTACTTGATCGTGTGGGACGCTGAGACGTGTGCTCCGATACGCGTTTTACAAACAGCGGTGTCTCCAATGGTACGATTATTTACCTCGGATTCTATCAATAAAGTCGTGACTCTTTTAGAGAACGAAACTTTTCAAGTTTGGGACTTAGACAATCTCGATCGCGACACCGAACATTCTGCTGAAGTCCACCAGGGGGCAGTGCAATCTATAGGTGTGTCGTCTGCTGCAGATTATATAATGTCATCAGACGATAAAACTCCCGACGCAAAATTGGTCAGCTTATCCACAGGTGTTGTTATGGACACTCTTCAACATAGTGAACATTCCGGGGACCATGTTACTGAAGTGTTAATGTCACCTAATGGCATGTACGCTGTATCAAGAGCCAAACTTGAGCAAACGGATGCTCTGTCATACTCAAGTTTTGAACCTTTGACAGATGATGTAATGTGGGAATTAGAAACAGCATCAAAAGTATTTCATGCAATTTCAAACAGGTTGGTATTATTTAGGAATAGAAACTTTTATTGTTATAAATTGCTGTAAAAATATCATAAAGTGAAAGAAATGAAATTAAGATACAAACATCAATTTTATTTCATAACTTTTTTATAAATATTTTTGTAACATTTGCAAATTAAACTGCATATTTGTATTATGAATTTATTTATTTATATTTTTGTTTACACAGGTATATCGTTTTTAGTCCATCATCAGAAACAGCAGCTTTTGTCACGTGCGCATTTTATAATAGCTGTGACTGGACTGAAAACATTTACAATGTGTTCATCGTGAACCCTGAAACTGCTGCAAACTACACATTAGATTTTCCATACAGCACCGAGTTTGTCGTTCCACCAAAAATAGTTCATAAGAATGGCAGTGACTACTTTGTGGCGGTCGTGCAAACATGCAGAAAGACAACCGATACCATAACCACCAAGGAATTATCACGATGGACAGAAGTACGTTTGTTTCTGCAGAACATAACGACTAACCAATCTCAAACGGATCCAGTTCTTCTGCGCTTGCAGAATTTAGTTGAAAATGTTGAAGATAATGACGAGTTTTTGGATATTATACCAGTTTCTGATGATAACATTCTTGCTGTGTATGCAAAAGATGTCCATGTGTATGAGTTTGTTACTGACAAAGGTATCGTTCCGCCGAAATGTACAAGAAAAGGCGCCATTTTGTTCGACGTTGATGGTCAGACGGCCCTGAAACACATTCCTCTTTTTCTTGATATAAAATCGAAGGTAAATGATCTTCAGATTTCTAGGCAATATTGCCACATTCTTGACAATGACTTAAGAGTGTTTAAATATGAAACATTTAGCTTTCTCATTCAAATTCGGAGCTGTAAATTTGCACCGGGGTCTGCAAAACTTGCACTGAATGGACGATACATTGTAGGAATAGCAGAAATTCAAAGGACAATTGAAGTTGTGAGGACGTCAGATGATACAAATATAGGCTCAATGTTTGTGCATGGTAAGGCCACATGCTTGCAAGTTGCAGACGATGACAGAACAGTTATTGTTGGTTGTGAGGATGGAAGAATCATGATTTTGAGCCTGATTCTAGATTTTGCTGATCCATTACGAGAATACATTGAGAATATGCCAAGTCGCTATGAAGAGCCAGTCCAGGATAATTTGATCATAAAAGATTTGCGACGGCTTTCATTGTCAACGCCGGACCAACAACGTCTGTCAGCTAGGTTGAGAAAAGCATCTATTGCAGAAGAGAGGAGGCCGCCATCATATACAACCTTACATCGTGCAGTCACCATTTCTAGAATGTCAAGTCGGGAGCGTAATCACAGTAATTGCGCACAACAGTAAATTATTTGTTAGATATTGAAACATAGTACATGTATTGAAATATAATCATATACATATACACAGTATATACTTGTTAGATTAACAAATACTATGGTCATGATTATATCTTTCAAGATATCAAATTGTGGTTATTAAAATACTTATTAGTTATGTTTGTAAGTCAGTCGTATTAGGGCAATTTTTTCATCTTTCTCCTTTTTTATGATTTATGTTGCGTTAGACTGAAAGACATCGGTCTTTAAATGTTTATCAACAAAACCTACCACAAGAGTCAAAACGTATACATTTTATGTTATACCTATTCATGGTGTAAGACAGGATAAGTTAAAGAATTTTTATATCAGTGAATATTGTTAACGCAATAAATACATAAAGCAATCAGAATAAAACAACAAGGGACGATTTTGCTTATACAAATGTAGTTATTATTTTGCATGTATATTAATCATTTTATTGTGTTCTTTCATGAATAGCATTTGCTGGAGGTCAGATCTGAGTTTTGTATATTTTAATCAAGACAATTGTACATATAATTGTTTATAATGGTCTCAAAACGATATACTTTTATTTGTGTATGACACCTCTTTCTAGGTTAAGTTACGTAAATATATTAATAATGTGTCTTTTGTATTCTTAAATGGCGTGCCAACTGTTTCTGTTTATTCTTATTGTCTATCATTTGTAAATGTATTTATTTGCTTACAATATCAAAGAAACATTATTTTTTGAGCTGCCAAGCCGATCTGTGATACTGTACTGTTTATTTTAGATTTATATTCATTGTTGTACTTGCATATATTTAATAGTAAATGATTTCATAATATACTGTTAATATAGATTTAAAACGTATGATAAATGAGATAATAAATTATTGACACGTACCAAATGTCATAAAGCTAATAAAAGTAATGCATACAAACGTGCCTTTTAGATATTTCTTTTTGGTTTAAACATATTTATTTAAGCTCGATTGCGAAACAAGTTTGTGCAACTTATATTAATCGCTTCCTGGAACCAACCAGTACTGATGTCATATGAAGAAACATAGTCGTGACCCGAGTAGAGCTCTAACCCATGATCTCGTGGTTGAGAGGCAGACACCTTAACCACTAGGCCACCGCTCCCCTTAATTAGTTTTCTTTTTTTATATTTTTGACTAATTTCTAGCTGAGATATCTTTTTTATTGACTTTGTTTATGCTAGGTAAAATATATAAAAATCCTTCTAACAATCAATTTGTTAATTGCATTTTTTTTTATCAAACTTGGGTATATGTACGTTATTTGTTTCATAATGTTATTAAAACCACCGCCCGTAGTTCAGCCAATAAATCTTTTTAACCTTGAAATCTACGAGGGTACGTACCTCACATAAATGTATCTCAAATTGTGACTTTTGAATTTTACATTGGAATTAATGTTGATTTATCATCAAACAAAGATGAAATGTATGGAAGGTAACAATAATTGTATCTAAAAATAAAAGTTATCATGTTTTATGTTTCTATTTCTCGAGCCATTAAGAAACATACCTATCTTTATAAAGGTTATAAATAATTTTTGAATTTAAAATTTGCCTTAGTATAACAAATCACTTAAGAGTAATCAAAGCTTAAAATAGTTAAAATACACAAACAAACACGATTCAAGCACAAAAGTAAACTAATAAAATAGTTGATGTTGAACAAATTACAGCTATTCTGGATTTTTGCATTTTTAAATTATATATGAAAATGTATATGTTAATCGGAATTTCTTGTTATCAATACGGTTTTATAGACATTCGATAAGAATAACAACAAAGGCTAATATTGCAAAAGAACATAATCAAAATTGAATAAATATAGGTAAATATCGGAGACCCGTTCGGTTAGAACGAGCCTATCCCTGAGATTCAATGAAAATCGCAACATACCTGATGTTTCCTTAAACCGGCACTAGTGGAATGTAATAACTTAATACTAATGTTATTAATCTTCAATGATCCCAAAGGATCAGCAAACTTAAACAAAACCATGACGAAACAAGGAAAAACATAATCCCTGCAGATAGTCCAACACAGCAAAATTAAAACTGTTGCATGCTCGTTTTTATTGAGCATGTTCATGGACGGTAGTGGTAATTCCAAGCTACCGTCAACTCCCCTAGCACCGACTTGAGCAGAATCTAACATGAACAGGTAAAATTTTGAATGATGAAACATCCGCAAATAAGTTTATATGAAGGTTATCATGGGCCCTTCAATGTGGCACTTTGCCATTCCATGAAGAGCGGCATATGATCGCCAATGAAAATATTGTGTGCCCACTGACAATAAAGTAATGAGCGAAATAAATAAATTGAAATTTTGACAGGGTGATCAGAGGTTATGAAGCCTGCATATCACAGATAACCTGTCAAAAGACAAATCAAAAAGCAGGCAACATATCCTAAAAGAGATCAAACAGAAATAAAGTGATGAATACTTGAACCATCCGACTAGAAAAAAACACCAAATTGGAAAGAACTAAAAGTACCAAAAACATGCACTCAAAACAATAATGCCAAGACATTTATGATTAAAGAATCGCATAAACAACTTTCTACACAATTTGCATATCGTATTATATAGTAATATGAACAAATGAAAATGAGAATTATAGTTGCCTGTCCACTTTAATTAGTGAGGAATCGTTCAATATAAAGAGACGACAGGATATTGTTGAGTGTTGTTCTATACAACCATTGTTAAACTACCATAGTAAATAACACAATGAAACAAATACCCAAATCCAGTAGGAATAATTTTAATTTATTTCTTTATAATTGTTTGTACTATGAAGATATTTCTTTATCAAAGATAACACAATACAAATTAAAATATAAACGATTTTTAATATCATGATTATAATGCTCAGATGTATAAAAGGTGCTTTAACACTTAACTACAATGAACTATCAATGAATGAATATAGAAAGGAAGAAATACAAATACAATACAATGTATTTTTCAATTTTTTTGCCAAAAATGTATCAAACTCAATGATTATGTGCTAACATGGTGATAACAGTAAGAGTATAAGAAATCTAAAAATTTTGTGATCCCTGAAAAGCAATAAAAACAAACAGCATCGTATGAAAATTGCAGACTTTATGTGATGGACTCTGTTCATTACGATATAACAAAAAAAATGAAACACATGTCGTGCTATTGTAATTAGTTAAAAAGTGCATTCTAACTATACATAATCACATTTAACAAAGTAATTAAAAGTGGAATGTTAATTTATTTAATAAATTAAAGACATTTATTTCAAAACGTTACATTTAAAGAGAACAATCAGTGACAATGTGACAAACACTGTTCAATTGTCGTAAACGACTTCGTACTTAAACAATGACATGCTATCATTGGCGACGCCGGTGAGCGGCGTCGTCTTATATGGAATGCTTTTTATTTTTGCCTATGGAAGGAGCTGTTATTATTAGCAGTTAATTTCATGTTGAGTTTATTAGATTTATTTTGATTCGTAAAAATCAAGTAAACAAATATGTTGTTATATTTGTATTTAATAACTTTATATAAAAAGCATGTGCATTGTGATATTATTTTCACGAAATTGCAGGCTCAGTTTAACAGCTTGTCCCTTAGTTTTATTGGCAATACTAAAACCCGGATTTCGAATATCGTTGTGGTCTACATTGATGCCGTATCAGTTCGTTCATTCATTTATATATTTTCAAAATTTTCTTACAAGAAGAAAGTTCACCTGCAAATGAGTATAGGGATAGGTAATGGACTGTTGTAAACGATTATCCTATTGATTTTATCCATATTACGTTGATCTGTTGCACAGAATGGTTGTTTTTACAAAGTGTACCAGTATCCGGATGCTTAAAGCTATCCGATTTTCTGCAATAACTGATGGTCATCTATTTTTTATGAATACTTTACCATTAATTTGCATGGCTTAATTTAACTGACTGAGCCTGCAACATTTCGTAATTTTAATGTTTAGGGTGTTATTTTGGGTTTCAGGTTTTCTCTCTTTTAAGGGGAAGTAACTCATGTTTACTAAATTATTTGTTCTTTTCTGTCTACTCTATCTTTAGTATTACTCACTATTTTTTGTTTATTATAAAATTTACCAGTTGTAAGGTCATCAAAAGCAGAGAGGCCCTGATGAGTGAATATTGATATATTTTTACTGGCTTGATATACCCTAGACCAGATTTTTCTAGTTTGTTCATTTGGTACATTCCTCAGCTAGAGGCATCTTCTAATCACTATGTGAAATTATTATTTTCTATGTGTTTGTATATGAATTGTTACTAAAATAACCTTTGGTAAAGATGAAAGGTAGAATATTTAAGCTTTATACATATAGGTGCTCATTTTAAACACTTGATTACATTATATGCAGTTAGTTATACATTGTATAGTAAAGTCTAATGGAAGGTTAAAAGAGGGACAGTATTTGTTACTGTAAGAGATATGCATTTAATGTTTAGACACTTACACAACTTAATCTGTATTACATCATATAGACTATTTGAGATTTTTTTTTTACTTTTATATTTTACAATATCATGTACATTTTAGTTTTCTTTCTACAAGATTATGAATTCCTGTTAATAGGATGTTATATTTATTTTTAATGGAACCTGAGAATTACTAATGTAATGTGCATACAAGTGTATCATAGTATAGTATATGGATATAATGTGTATTTCTGTATTTAAAGACTTACAGTTATGATGGATGAAACTTGCATTTAAATTTATAAATGATAATACATGTATTGATCAGTCTACAGGTTATAGTTGTTTATACCCAGTGTTAGCTGGCTAATAATAGTATCTATAACAGAGTTTATATATTCTACTAGATTTTGAATTCCATCCATAAGTACCAATGTTAATGTTAGGATTTCATATTAATTTAATAGAAACTGGGAATTATTATGTTATGTGCATACATGTATATCTTAGTATATTGATATGATGAGACTTATAATATTTCTGAATTTAAAGAGCTACAGTTATGTCATTATTATTAAAGGGATGAGACTTTCATTTAAAGTTATAAATGATAATACATGTATTGATTGAAAATGTCCTGAAACTTGGATCAAGCAATATAATTGATAAAGTCTCAAAAAATCATATTTTGAATGATTATTCTAATTTTTTTCTAACATGTGCATAGATTGAAAAGGACAACTTCTGTCTTATCTATTTGTAATGGAGGGACACCGGTCTCAATTTCCAAGCTTAGGTCTCCTGAGTCAACCCGACAACAGACTTTTCATAGAGTAGATTGTTTCTTGCCCTTGAATAAATTTGTACACTAAATTTTATAGCGGGTGATTTTTGCCACATGAAAACCAACAAAGTACAAAAAAGTAACCGGCGCCAGACACAAAGTGGTGTGTTTATTGCATTTTCATGTTTTCGCCCAGTGCCCTTGATGCAAAATACAAATCAGCCTTCATCAAATTTCTTATCATAGAAAAAGGGTTAGTTTTTTATCCGTACAAAAAATAGATATTGTACATGTATTAGCACAGTTATGTTCACTTTCAAACTGACCTGTTATAAATAATGGCACAACCAATATGTTACTGTCTAAGCCCTTTTTAGTAAAAATAATTATACATAATATATAAATTGTTATTTTAATTTAGACTATGAGTATGTAAGGTTTTTATTTCTTATTTATTAATTAAGAATTAATTATCTGTTAATTTAAAAATCTAAATATCTGTCACGGTTTAGAACTGTTCACTATTTAAAGATTTTTAAAGGGGGTCATTATTTAATTTTTTTTTTTTGGTTTTTGACACTTTTACGATGAACACAGTTTTTTTAATCAATCTGGTCATACTTTTTCTTCCCAGGTCCGATACTCGTGCCTGTGATTATATGATGATGACTCAGGTATCCTTGTATT